ATCTATATCCCTATATTCATTGCAACATTATTCACAATAGCCGAGATGTGGACATAACCTACCTGATAGATGAATGGATAAAGAAGATGTGATATGAGTATATATACTATATACAATAAACATATAAAAATAAAATATTCTAAATATTACTAATTATTATTATTATTCATAGTATTCTAGAACAAAAATATAACATATATATAAATTAAAAATATTATTCAGCCATAAAAAAGAAAGAAATCCTATCGTTTGCAACAACATGGATGGACCTTAAGTGCATTATGCTAAGTGAAGTAAGTCAGACAGACACAAATTCGGCATTAGCTCACTTATATATGGAATCTGTTTTTTTGTTTGTTTTTTTTTAATTCCAAACACTCAGGGGCACTGCTTGGGTAGCTCACTTGGTTAAGCATCTGCCTTTGGTTGAGGTCATGATCTAGGGGTCCGGGGATGGACCCCCACATCGGGCTCTCTGCTTAGAAGGGAATCTGCTACTCCCGCTCTCTGTGCTTTCTCCCTCTCCCTCTGTGCTCTCTCCTACTCTCTCTCAAGTAAATAAAATAAATCTTTAAAAAATAAAAATAAAAAATAAATTCCAAAGTCATAGAAAACAGAGAATAATATGGTGGTTGCCAAGCTAGGGGAAAAGGGAAAAGAGGACATGTTGATCAAAGGGTACAAACTTAAAGGATGAATACGTTTGGGAGATCTAATATATAGTATGGTAACTATAGCTGGCAAAGCTATACTGTTTAACTGAAAGCTGCTGAAGAGAGTATATCTTAAATGTTCTCACCACAAAGGAAATACAGTAATTATGTGAGATGTGTGTTATAAATATTGTAATTATGTAAGATGGATGTGTTAACGATACATACTGTGGTGATCAGTACACAATACATATGTGTAAGAAATTGCCACACTGCACACTTTAAACTTACACAGCATTATGTGTCAACTGTATCTCAATAAATTTGGCGGGGGTCCGGGAAGGATAAGACCTCTGAGTTACTGTCAGCCTTGATTGTGATTAAGATGGAAATTCTGCCTGCAAAGTAAGTGCTTTGATACCTGTATTAGGATGAATCTGCAAAGACAAAAACTAACTCTGCCCATTTGTGGCAACCCCAAACCTGCTCCTCCTCCAGCCCTCTGTCCATTCTTGTAAGTATCATGACATTATAGAATATTTCTGAATCACTGTCAGAATTGGCAGATTCTGCTTAGGAAAGTGACAGGTTAGCAGTGACCTCTCTGACTTCTCCAGCTACCTCTCTCCCCCTTGCTTTCCTTCTGTTCCACAAACATGCAAAAGGATGTGCTCTTTAGGGCCTTTGCGTGTCCTGTTCCTTCTGGTTGATACACATTTCCATCACATCTTCAAATGACTGGCTCCTTCCTGTCATTTTGTTCTTAGCTCAAACCTGACCTCCTCAATGAAGACTTTGCTGAACTCCCTTTCTAAATTATCTTGTTCTCCCCAAGGCATTAATCACATCACATCAGAACTTATATCTGAATCTGAAATTATCTTGTTGGGTTTTTAATTTGCTTATTCAAATGGCAGGTGCACAGGAATTTTCTTGTCATTTACTGTGTTAAATGAATAAATATGTAGTCATCATGCATCTCTTGAGAAAAGTCATACCTCAGTTAGGCTGATAAAGATTCAACACATGAACATAGAAGGCATAAACACTGATTTATGGGTATTTAGTATTTAGGTATTCAATCAGTGCCAAAAAGCAGCTGAAGACTTGCCCATCTTTGTAAATATACAAGGGGTTTGGACAGAGGAGTCAGGGAACTTCTTAAGCAAACAAGATCCCTGAACCAAAAATCATATTAGTTGTGAAGAGCAAAATGGTTTATGGGTGAAAAAATCCATGTTCCCCCAACATTTGCAATTATTTACAGTGGATTGTTTAACTGGCCAACTATTTGGTTAAGGGAGCTGGTTCCTCATGTCTAGGTCTGATTGAAAATCTTATGTTAAAAATCTTCATTACAAACCCCTCGAGTGGATGTAGCATTAAAAACAAAAACCAAAACCCCAAGCTACACACACTCAGATTGCCTGCTGAGCAGGGAGCCCAGGGCGGGGCTTTGGGACAGTGGAAGATGACTGCACAAAGAGTAAGGAGATCCCGATTAGCAGACCCTAAGTAAACCCCACTTACTCAACAAAAACTGAATGGCGCCAGGCACTGTTCAGTAAATTCAACTAGTGAACACCGCAGGCAGAGTAACTGTCCCACAGGAGTTAGGTTCTACTGGCGGAGAGGAAGAGAAAGGTAAGAACAACCTGATCCAGCCGCACTGGCTGCTCTAGAAAAGTCGCCTTCACGTTGTTCTGGCGTCTGGTTGCGGCCTCTCACGGCCACCGTGGCAGCCACGGGCTCCGGCAACGTCCTCACCAGCGTGCCCAAGTCTCGCGTTGCTTGTAAGGCGCTGCGTGGGCTCAGCCGCCCCTCAGCCAGGCACCTGCTGCGGGATCACCACCTCCGCGTACAAAAGGACGTAGCGGAGGAGGCGGAGAATGAAAAAGACGCCGCTGCTAACGGGGAAGCGGAGAATGAGGGAAATGGGAAGCCAGCAATGAGGTACATGGAGAAGAGGAGGAAGAAGACGACGATGGTGAAGAGGGTAGAGACAGAAAGCTGAGGCGGCTTACAGGCAAACAGGCCGCTGAAAATGAGGAGAGGGGTGATGAGGACGCCAAGAAGAAGACCGATGAGGATGACCAGACAGCAAAAAAGGAAAAGCTAAACTTTAAAACAACGAACAGAAAGGCCGCCATGACCAATTTACCCTCTACTTCCAGTCTCCGAATCTACACTGGGTCACCAAGCAGAGTCCTGCCGGCTGGCAGCGCCCCCGCAGTGACACGTGCTCGCTCCCACACAGCCCAAACCACCACGTGAATCTGCAGCAGGGAAGAAGAGAACCAACAGCTCCTAGGCCCTGCTTTTCTCTTACAAATACTTAGAAAGAGGGGCGCCTGGGTGGCTCAGTGGGTTAAAGCGTCTGCTTGGGCTCAGGTCATGATCCCAGGGTCCTGGAATCGAGCCCCACATTGGGCTCTCTCTCCACGGGGAGCCTGCTTCCCCTGCTCTCTCTTTCTCTGCCTACTTGTGATCTCTGTCAAATAAATAAATTATTTTTTAAAGAATACTTAGAAAGGAAAATGTGTGTGTAATTTCATTTTCATTGTATGTTTTGTACATATTGTTGGGGTCAGCCATTTTGAATTCTGAATTAACTAGCCAGCCTTCGGAGCATTGTCTGTCCTACTTCTGACTCGACTTGTAATGTGACCACGTTCATTACAATCTCAAAGGCGGGGGAAAAGAAAAGAAAAACTGTTTGAACAC